CTCCACTGGCTTTGTTTGTAGTGATGCTTCCTAAGGCCCACTTGACTTCGCATTCCAGGATGTCTGGCTCTAGGTGAGTGATCAGGCCATTGTGATTATCTGGGTTGTGAGATCTTTTTAATATAGTTCTTCTGTGTATTCTTGCCACCTCTTCTTAATATCGTCTGCTTCTGCTACGTTCATACCACTTCTTTCCTTTACTGTGCCTATCTTTGCATGAAATGTTCCCTTGGTATCTCTAATTTTCTTGAAGAGATCTCTAGTCTTTCCCATTCTATTGTTTTCCTCTATTTCTTCCTGTGAACTGTAGGAGTTAAATATTTGTTGAATGAATAACTCTGGATCAGACAAGCAGACAAAGTAGTTGTGGGGAGCAGGAGCATAACAGGAGGAGGAAGGAGAGATCAGATGAGCACAGAAAAGCAGAGAGAAGATTGAGAAAGGTCCCAGAGCCCTTCCTCCTGGTTCTAAGCTATTCACAAGGCACAGCTGTACTTCTTGAGTTGCTCAACTTCACGATGCTCTTCAACTTTAACTTCACTTGCTTTAGGTTATCGGCCACTGAAAGTTGTTTGTTTTTTTAAAATATAGAAGCTTTGACAACTTTCCTGAACCCTACCTATAGGTGATACAGAGAGAAGGAAAGGTGCAAGGGAACATCAAAGACTCTTCAATATCCAAACCTCCAGGAGCAGCTCCTTTCTGCCTGCAGTGTGGGAGAGAAGGGAGCTGAGTAGAGAGACTATAGTCTCTGTAGTCAGAATGCCCAGGGCAAGAATTCTGACTTTGCTATTTACCACTTGTAAGTAACTTGGTAAGGTTATTCGGCACCTCTATACTCATTCTCTCACCAATAATATAGAAATATGAACAACTAATTTGTTCTACTTGCATGAAGTCAACTTAGTGGGTGGCATATAAACCAGTGGTGGTCAGAGCTGGTTACTTATTAGATTCACCCAGTGAGCTTCTAAAAAATACAGGTTTGTGGACCCCAACCTCTATCTACTAAATCAGGAATCCCACAGACATGGACTAGAAATGCATACAGATGTCATTATAACACTTTGGATGCATTTCTGACTTTTATATAGCCACTGCACCTGGGAACTGTGCTATATAACAGAAGTTATATAAAGAAAACCAGGAATATTCATAAGTAACTGATATAAAGTACATTATTATTATTTTAAGCTATTATTTAACCTTACAAGTAAATAGCCGTGAATTCCATTAGACTTCAAACTTCTTGAGGACGGGAATCATGTATTCCCGAAGCACCAAGCAGTGAATTACTAGGCACACAGAAGTTGTGGAAGAAATACTTGTTAAATGACTCAATAAATAAGAGTATTAACTAATTTTGTAAGTAATATAAAACACCATTTTAAAACAATAAAGTTAAAAATACTAGTCCTTGATCTGACATTATTCCTGACAACACTGTCTTCCAATGACACTGGCTTCACATTTATCCATGCAGTTTTAGTTACAGAAACACTAAAAGGATCTTACTATAAGGTATTATGTTTATCACATGGTCTTGTGGCACACGTGTCAGTATGTTCATGAAGAACTTCGAGGTACAGACCAGATGGCTTCTAGGAACCTTTCCAACTCAAGGCTGCATTTAGGCAGTGTCTTAAAGAATGGACTGGACGCAGACAGAATAATTATGGGAAAAGAACACTGCGGGGGAGATCATCATATTCACAATGATGATTCTTCTAGTGGGGAATGAAGTAAAACAAAGATAAGGAAAAGCAGATGAAAGGATTTTTAACAAAATGTAATTAGCATAAAAAGAGTGAGTAAATGAATGATAACCTAGCCAAAATTCCCAATTAAAATCAAAATGATATGGTCATGGCATTTCTTGCCAAAATAGAGCATGCGTTTGAGAGACGTGTGAAAACAGAATGGCTGCTCCGTTTGCCAGGGAGATGTTTAGTGGACTAAGGACTCCACTTTTCTAACCACTTCAGGATACCTGGGTGTCATTCTGTGGTAATGATGGAACCCAGCTTAACAGAAAATTCAAAGGCATTCCTCTGTACGTTGATGAGGAATAACCACCAGGCAGGCTACTGGTCTGGCCAGAATCAAAGTCAACATTTCAAAGCATGGGCAGGGACTTTAAAGAGCCTTTCCAGAATTAAGATCTCAGGGTCAATCATTGAAATCTGTGAGACAGAAATAAGAAGGAGAGAAACTGAGGGAGAGAGAAATGGACAGCATGGTTAAAATAAAAGCAAATAGGGGACTATTTATTTATGCCTCCAGCACATTCTGTGAAATACTGAAGAAAAGTTAGAGAGGATCTGACTTTAAGGAGTGGGTGATGGATGTATTAAGATTTATTAGATGTATCTCTAATTATTAGGTTATTAAATGCATCAAAATTTAGGTTGAAGAAGTTATTTCTCACATTATGAAAGGTGTTAATGCTGTTATATTTGAGGTGCTCTACTCCTCTAACAAGACCGACAGGAGAAATATCAATAACCTCAGATATGCAGATGACACCACCCTTATGGCAGAAAGTGAAGATGAACTAAAGAGCCTCTTGATGAAAGTGAAAGAGGAGAGTGAAAAAGTTGGCTTAAAGCTCAACATTCAGAAAACTAAGATCATGGCATCTGGTCCCATCACTTCATGGCAAATAGATGGGGAAACAGTGTCAGACTTTATTTTTTTGGGCTCCAAAATCACTGCAGATGGTGACTGCAGCCATGAAATTAAAAGACGCCTACTCCTTGGAAGGAACGTTATGACCAACCTAGATAGCATATTAAAAAGCAGAGACATTACTTTGCCAACAAAGGTCTGTCTAGTCTAGGCTATGGTTTTTCCAGTGGTCATGTATGGATGTGAGAGTTGGACTGTGAAGAAAGCTGAACACCGAAGAATTGATGCTTTTGAACTGTGGTGTTGGAGAAGACTCTTGACAGTCCCCTGGACTGCAAGGAGATCCAACCAGTCCATCCTAAAGGAGATCAGTCCTGGGTGTTCATTGGAAGGACTGATGCTGAAGCTGAAACTCCAATACTTTGGCCACCTCATGCGAAGAGCTGACTCATTGGAAAAGACCCTGATGCTGGGAGGGATTGGGGGCCGGAGGAGAAGGGGACGAGAGAGGATGAGATGGCTGGATGGCATCACTGACTCAATGGGCATGAGTCTGAGTAAACTCCGGGAGTAGGTGATGGACAGGGAGGCCTGGCGAGCTGTGATTCATGGGGTTGCAGAGTCGGACACAACTGAGCGACTGAACTGAACTGAACTGAACTCCTCTATTAATTTATTTTTTAATGACTGTTATATGATATGGAAGTAAAGATGGCAAAGCAAAGGGCAGCTGGAGAGCTGGGCTTACTAAACTGGCTCTGAACTCATTAAGAAGCAATAAATAGGAAAAACACTTGAGATATACAAAAATTCTGAAGAAAGTAGGCAAGATAAATGATAGAAAGGTTTTCCAGTTTGTGCTAAATACAACAGAGAAAACTATTAACTAGATCAACAGAAAAGGCCAGTCTGGGGAGATTTTTAAAATACCAAGAGCAAAGCTAAAAAGACATTCAAGGAGAATTACAGGAAGTCACAGAAGTGAGATATAAGGAGAAAGAAGTGGATGAGATTTCTGGTTCTACACAGTCATCATTTACAAGCAATCATTAAGAAAATCATACCCAATGAACACTCCTGGGTTTACAATCATAGTAGGAGAAAGCAATAACCATTTTATATGATGTGGTTTAGCAGAAAGAGACTGGGCTTTAGATAAACAATGCTAGATACAAAACATGACTCTACTGCACTACCACTTCCTAGCCTTGTAAATTCTGCAAGTTAAGTCCCTGTGACCTTGTTTCACCTATTAACAACGGCAATGAAACCTACACCTTATAGAACCATTCACTGGAGGTAATGCACATAAGGTACTTACCACAGCACTAGGCAGGTGCTGCTATTACTGTGATAATCATGAATATTATTAGCTTCATAAATATTATGTAGCAAAGGAGTCAGTCAACAAAAATTGACTGGTCACGTATTATATGCCAGGGTAGTAGTGCGAGGTATGAAGAAGATTAAAAGATAGACTGCAGACACTTACTTGAAAGGAGAGGAAAAAGAGAAGAGCCAAGGAAACATGATAAAACATTAGAAAATATTTTAATAGCATTCAATTTTATAGTTTTTTAAAAAGGCTTCTCTTCTTGAAATTTTGAAAATACATCAATGGTCAGCTTTTTAATATACAAACCACAGGAACACAAACTGGAAATGCTGATACCAGCAACATAATGGTTTGTAAGCTAAAGGAAAAGAATTAGCATATATGCAAAAAACGTTGCTCCTGGGGTCACTAATGCAAGGGATGGCAACCTACTCCAGTACTCTTGCCTGGAAAATACCATGGACGAAGGAGCCTGGTAGGCTGCAGTCCCTGGGGTCACGAAGAGTCAGACACAACTGAACGACTTCACTTTCACTTTTCACTTTCATGCACTGGAGAAGGAAATGGCAACCCACTCCAGTGTTCTTGCCTGGAGAATCCCAGAGACGGCGGAGCCTGGTGGGCTACCATCTGTGGGGTCGCAGAGTCAGACATGACTGAAGTGACTTAGCAGCAGCAATACAAGGGAAAGTCTAGGTTAGAACTGCCAGGAGGAATCTATAATCTCGAGGCCCATCCAAACCACAGGTACACCTTGGCTCTAACAACAAGGTACCAGCACAACAGTTTCTACAAAATGTGCCCTGCACTCATGAATTCCTGTCCCCCAGAACAAAGAGTAGACAAAAAGACAAGACCTAAAGAAGACACAGCTTCGGAGGGCCAAGGCACCCAAGAGAAAGAGTTCAAAGCTCAAAACACAAGAGGTAGCAGCCTACAGTATTTAAAAGGATGAATTAAAAATAAAAGCTCTTACATAATAATATAAACTAAAGATATAAATCTCAAATTAACAATTAAAATTATTTTGATTTACCTGATTGCTTAGAATTTCTTTCTTTCCACTGAATATTTTTGCATTTGATCTGGTTTTGTCTCTCTTTTCGGAGTCGTTCTAATCTTTGAGCTTGAAAAGAAATATTATAACTATAAGTTTGTCAATGAAAGTTTACTATAAACAAAGACATAATTAACTACCTTTATATGAATAAAGATGTTTTATATTGCATATGTAGGGAAAAAGTCATAAAATTTTAAAGGTGGCACCCCTGAAAAGCAAATACCAACAAAAACATGAAAATATTCTTGATTTATAATTGAAATTAGAGGATATAAAACATTAATAGAGATCATAAAGATAGTATTAACATGGAAGAGAATAATAAAATGTGAAAACTTCTGTGATTAATATGACATTTCATTATATAAATCATTAATAACGGTCTTAAAGGAATTTTAATGCACAAATGAACTGAAGTGAATATTACATTACAGGAATAAAATTACTGTTATGAATTACTCTACCCGTTTCAAAAATTAAAGATAAATGAACTCAGACTAGACTATTAAAGTTTTAAATATAAAATCCTTTATCTAAAAATCATGAAAATTATAAAATGTCAAAGCTATATAAATTAGCATAGCTTTTCTTCAGTGGGCTGAAACAGTTTATAGGTAGTAAAATAAATGATTTGTATCTTTGTAACATTAGTCAAATCTTAAAAAGAACAATTTTTCTTATACAAAATTTTAAGATATGCTGAGAGGATTAAAAAGTAAATTCCTTGGTCACTCAAATACCCCACAATCTTAATTAATTATTAGCAGCTAAGTGCTAGCTTAAGAAATTCCAAGAACAAAAACAAAAGCATAACCTAAAATTATGCATTTGTGATTATACTAACATTGGCTGTTCAACCTTCAAATGTCAGTTAATTGGATCTTTTAAAGAAATACGGTCCAGCATACAATACTATCCAGCACGTAGAGACTATAATGGAAAAGAAAGCCACAACTTATGCCACCTCTTCAAATTAGGCTCCTCTTGCTCATCTTCAACTTGCTATCTTGGCCCAATGCTAATAAAAATAAATAAAATAAAGTTTTCTTTCAACTGCTTTCAAGGTAGGAAATCTTACATCCCTGCCTTAGCATTGTGGCAGTGAAACACTGAAACTAATCTTGCTAAAATTAAACTATGCTGGCAAAAAACATTCTGACAATGTCACTCTATCGAACCAAATTCCACAGAAGCAAAATACATTCAACTGCAATTAATAAATTTGAAGGGTACAGCCAAAGTATTATAATCATAAAGCTCTCAATTTAGCAGCATTCTCTTACTAAATCCATTCAGCCTGTCATAAAAGATATCTCAATAACTTGTAAGGAAGTCAGTTTCAACTAGAGAACTGTGAATCAATGGTTCGAAATTATATTCAAACCTTCACTCGAATCCTATTTTGCTAAAAGTTCCTTTAATACTGGGAAATGCTCTTAATTATTTTCATCACAAGAGCAAATTATTCTTTGTATTGACAGGTGTCACAGAATGCTGAATTCTGAACCAAAACCTTAACATGCTTTGTAGTGTAAACTGTATCCTGTTCTACCAGCAGTACTCCTTCACATCCATTTTAGATACGGACTATGGAAATAAACATACAAATATTTTTAGGATTCTACTATATATCCTGCATTACTTTTCCTGGGAGTTAGCAGGTTACTGCCACTGATTAGGAGATTATATTTTCTGATTATCTAAATAAAAAAATTATCTCATAGAATACCATCATATTAAAACAACTACATTATATAGTCTAAACAGTTGATCTACGTAAAGGACTTCATCCCATACTCCTCGAAATGCTCCCCAAAAACATAAGCTGGAAAAGGGGAATGAATTTGTTAAAGCTAACGACTAAATGTACATATGCTAAAACTGAGCATTTTCAGGCCACAAGTACCAAAGAGTAGAGAGATCAACTAAATAATGTATCAAAAACAGGGGCACCTTTTCTCATCTCACCTCCCAAGCAGGAATTCCGACTAAAAGCGGCCTTAACAAACAGTCGGCTGTCTCCCTCCAATCCACCACCCAGTAGGATTCCTCCAAGGGCAAGAACTGTCCCAGGCAGCGGCACTCCTTGTCTGGCCAGCTCTCTGTATTAAAGGTTCTTTATCACGTAACCTGAACCCTGCCTACTGGTAATAGTGTTGCTCTGGTAAAGATCCTCAAGACAGTCCACTTCCCTGTCTACATGGTGCCTTTTTAGAACAGAATCTCCAACATTCCTCTCATAGTCAACTTTCTCACTTACTCCTCCTCTGCCTGCTTCCTTCTAAGAGCATCATTCCAGAGACTCGCACCATCCAGTCGCAGAGATGGAGAGATGCCTTAGACTATTAGTGCAATACATTCATGTTCCTATCAATACAGAGTAACTTTTCCCATTAAACCTATTCCAACATTATGAATTATTCCATAAGACTGTTTACTGATTTAAAGCTCAGAAGACAGGACCAAAAGGCAATGTTTACCTGTATTTGAGCGTCTTCTAATACCAAAGTCCCAACTTGAGGTAATATCGACCGACTGGGCGTACACATAGCCCTGAGTCTCACCATTGCTTCCCTGAATTTCTGACCCACTGTCTCCGGGCATTGAAGGAGGATGAATCTTCTCTAGGTCAACATCATGATCAATGAGAACCATCTCACACATTCCTGTGTCATCACTGGTCACATGTGACTGTCGAATATGAGCTAGAATGATAGTTGGATTGTCCAAGAAGGCCATCCTTTCTGTGGGCCAATTTCCTTAAAAGGCTATTTTCTCCTCTTCATATTGTTTCACGGGCTCAACTACCTAGAAACATGATGTACACAGCAACATTTAAGAATAAGGCAGAGAATGACTGAATCATTTTTCAAACAAATTCAATGTGGTAAAAATGCTACCTTGAAAATCAACATTTATCCCTGTAGCTAGGAGCTTAAAAGGATTAAGTCTAAGCTGAAAGGAAATCCTTATAAGCACTAGGGGCCACTGCTCTAGTCAATGAGATCTCCACCCTATCAGAGAGGATGGCTTGCTCTTTTACAAAACAAATAACAGTAACTCCTTAGCCTACTCAAAGCACATAACTACTGTTAAACCGATAAATTTTCCTTTCTTCCTCCCTTCATTCCTATGTAGTCTTCTCACTACTTTATAAGGTCATGGGGGAAGAAGCTGTATTTTCCTCAAATGATGTGCTAAAGTATGAAACTGTATTTCTTCAGTTTATATTCCCCTCTCCTGTCATAGTTGTGAAATGTCTAAAAGGGCACAGACACGCTTTCTGAGTTACCAGGAATTTTACAAAAATGTACCATCAAAGTTTTTAATTTTGTTCAATACATACATTTTCCTTCCTTCTGATTCAAGATAGTATTGTGCTTTTAAAATAAAACTTATTAATCAAACTTGTCTGCTACCAGATTAATTTCTTATTTTAGAAACCTAATTATAAGAACTGCTTCCTGAATCCTGTTAAAACTGAAATGATGTTTATTCTGGGAACAAAATGGTACCTCCTCAGTTAAATGGGAATACTCAACAAGGAAGATATTACAGGATAGTAGTTAGGAACCTAAGGGCTTACAGGCAGAACTGGGTTCAGATCCTGGTCCTATCACTTGCTAGCCACGTGAGCTTGGTCAAAGTAACTTTAACTTCACTGAGCCTGTTTTCTTTCATTTACAAAATGGAGATGATGCGGGGATGAAAAGATATACAGAAGATTATGCAGGTAAAATGCTTAAAAGAATAACTGGTACATAATTAAAAATTAGCTGCTCTTAATAATGATGATGGTAAAAATATAATTACCAATTTCAAAGTTCAATTTTTGTTTAAAGTAATCCTAAAATATGTCAACAAGTTATCCTTTTCTCGTAAGTACACAGCAAGTAAAATAAGTGTGCTTCCTTTGTAACAGGAGTCTGCAGGTCATCTGAGTCATCTTTCTGCTCCTCTAAACCAGTTAGGAAGTGCAAGGAATGTGAAAGCCAGGCTGAATACATTCCTAGGAACAGTCCTGGCAGATATTTATTCTTAGAAGGACCTAGAATACCATGGTTTTGTCACTGTTTCTTCTGAAAATAGAACATGGGAAATCTAGTTAATATTATTTCAGCTAACTGAAATTTTAACATTTTCTATCTGGCAACATAGCATTCTATTAACATCATTTAGTGGATCTTAAAGATACTGAGAGGAAGTTTAACTAAGGAGCATCTTGAATCAAGTGAATTACATTCACCTTCATTTTTTCCCTTAAATGTGCACTAAGTACATATTTTACACTGAAGCTAATGGGAAATGGAAAGATAAGGTAAGGCTGAGTCAAAGAGTTCATACCCTAATATAGACCTAGTATATCTCCTAATATCATGGGATTCTTCTAAGTGTCAAATTTCTGAGACATTTAGTCTCAGAAACATTAATGTCAGCCCACAACTTTAAGTGTAATAATCAGAAAAAAAAATACAGAAATAAAAGGGAGCATTTAACTTTCACTTGTAAAAATAAGGACTTCTTATGTAACAACAAAGAGATGTATATAACCATAGAATCAGTTATGACAGTATTTGTTTTGTAACAGAACCACAGAATCACAGATCAAGAGCGCTTCATCATTACAGCAATCACGATAAGCATCTTCTCCATGAAAGTGAGGCAACACGGCACCAGCAGGGGGCAGGTGCTTTTAACTTCATATTGACTAGTTCGTCCCGGTAAAAACAAAGGGCTTCAGTGAGAAGCCACACATTTAAAGGGTATTCTGACACCAAAAGGGCTTCCCAGGCGGCTCGGTGATAAGAATCCTCCTGACGATGCACGAGTCACAGGAAACGTAGATTCGATCCCTGGGTTGAGAAGATCCCCCAGAGTAGGAAATGGCAACCTATTCCAGTATTCTTGCCTAGAGCCTGGCAGCCCACAGTCCATGGGGTCGCAGAGAGCCAGACACGACTGGGCACGCACGCATGTGCTGGCACCAAAAAGCCCAAGCATAAAGCGGCAAAAGTACACTTTTGGCAAAAGTATATTCAATAGGACCTTTTTCAGGAAGATGAATCTATTCCATCACCTCTTCTGGAGAAGAGTTATGGGCAAACACTTCTGAAGGCACATACCAACTCCCTAACTATCCTAACAGAACAGAGGCCCCCAAAACACCCTAACATGAGCAGATATTTTCTCTATTAGTATACACTATGACTTCCTACAATTAGGAATCTATATGTATCGTTCAACAAATATTTATTTAGTGCCAGTTCTGACAGGGAACTCTGACAGGACTATCCCGAAAAGCATGGTTTCCATCACCTGTGACATGTATTTGAGGATTTAGACTGAAAGTTCCACAAGGTCAGGGGCCATAATACCATATGCTTTCTGGCAACAAAGCAGTTTACACACGGCAGGAATTCAATAAATATTGCTGTCTGACTTTCAAGGACTACATAATTTTCTTTCCGAGATAAATTATATATGAGCATGTCATGTGTATGATTATAAAGAAAGAACTGTTTTTTTTAAAAATTAATACAGGCACGAGAACTTCTCTACAATGTACCTTCAAAACTGTCACCTTGGGACACTATCAAATTATTCCCAAAATACTTTTCAAAACCAAAAGGATATGTTTTAAATCATTTGAAGATTGGCAAATTATCATTTGAAGGTCGATTTGAATTCTAAGACAAAGGTATTCCAGAAAAGCAAGTTCTTTTCTTGGATCAGTTGTGCAAAGATCAAAGATCTTTACAACCAAATGTTGGGACTTCCTGGTGGTACAATGGACAGGAGTCGCCTGTGCAGGGGACACAGGTTCAATCCCTGGTCTAGGAAGATGTCACACACTGCGGGGCAACTAAGCCTGTGTGCTAGAGCCCACAAGTGATGACTACTGAAGCTTTAGGGCCCGTGAGCACAATTACTAAAGCCCACGCACCCTAGAACCCCTCGGTGGCAACTAGTGAACCCATGTGCGGCAACAGCTGCTACTGAAGCCCATGTGCCTAGAGCCCATGCTCCACAACAAGAGAAGGCATTGCAACAAGAAGCTCATGCACTGCAATGAAGAGCAGCCCCTGGATTCACTGCAACTAAAGAGAAGCAATGAAGACCCAGCACAGCCAAAAATAAAAAGTAAATTAATTTTTTTTTAAATGTTGGCAGGAGTTCAGAGAAATGGGCACTTTCATGTACTATCAGAAGGAATGAAAATTGAGGCTTTTTAAAGGGTAGTTTTGTAGCACCTATCAAAGTGTAAAACAGGAGTACCCTTTGGACAATACCACTTCTAGGATTTGCTCTAAGGAAACAACTGCAAAAATATTTATCTCAGGACTGTAACACTAAAAGTCTGAAAGTAATCTAAACATCCTTTAACAGTGCATATGCCATGACACATACATATGACAGAATACTACACAGTAATTTAAAACACATGGTAGAGAATGGATGAACAGAATGTGGTACACACATACAATGGACAGTTATTCAGTCTCAAATATTCTAAGACATGTTAAAACACAGGGGAACTCTGAGGACATTATGCTACATGAAATAAACCAATCACAAAAGAATTAAGAATCAAAACAAAAAATCAGAACTGAGAATCAAATCCAAGAGCTTGGGATTTAAACCACCCTGTACCCTCTCAAAACAAAGAGGAACAAAAACTACAACAGCTACAATAAATGTGAGTTTTTAAAAACCTGTTGTTGAGTTCAGGGCCTGAAAGAAATTTCTCTCATGGGTCCTCATGAAAGATGTAAGACGGTAAATGTGTTATGCAGTAGACTAGACCCTTAGCCTTCCCTCCAGTAATGCAACCATGATTTGTACGGAGCACACGTAATGACTGTTCGAGACTAAAAATCATAACATTTTACACATGAAATGAACTCCAGAGATCATCTACTTGTTGATCTGAAACCACAGAGGAGGGTTCTACTTTAAATCCCCAGTTAGGTGTGAGTATCTTTTAGAAAATGCCCAGAAATTCAAGCAACTTCAGCTACAAAGTCTACACGTAAAATATTCTCTCTCTCCTTAAATAGCCTCACCAGAAGCAAATGAGTCCCCCTTACACTTCTTCACTGCCTAAGGACCTGAGATAGCAATGTGCCTTAAAATGCTCACGCCCAGCCAACGGTTGAAGGGAAATTCCTGTTCCTGAACTTTCAAAACACCGCACATTCACTTCCCTCTGCCAGACAGACTTCACAACCCCCTCACCTGCAATCTGTGAAAACTTGTCTGAATGAGCAACAGCCTGGGGCTTCTCGAAGGTCTGCAAACTCCCAATCAAAAATTACTGCTGCCCCATCAATGTGTCATATAAATGTTGGCATGTTAATTGTGTATTTATAAGATTGTTAATGGTTAGTTAATTTACCTCCCACACTATTATTGTACTTGAAATGATTTAACGTCTGCTGAGGGAGTTAACAACATGTAACAGCAGATGCGAGATTTTTTCTTTACTGTTCCACACTGTACCCCGACTTCATGCTATTAGCATTAGGCAAGCTGAACCTAATTCCAACACAAGATTCCTTAGGAATAGTATAGAGGCACTCACATATATTTTCCATAACCAGAAATGATCATAAGTTAGAAAAACAAAGGCTTTTTATTAAGTACAAAGTTTTCAATTTATAAAAACTGACAGACCCTGTTTTTTACTAAGATTTCAAAATTCTTTCATCTAGTTAAAGTTCAGAATTCATAAGTCCTGA